ACCGTCGAGAATGAGGAGACAGTCTGGTTACGACAAATGTTGGAGCAATGGAAGGCATCATTCGCGAGAATGGACAAAGGTAAATCTCTAAAAACTTTTCAAAAAAAGGCTCAGACATGCATCGACTATTGCCCTCTTCTGAACTCTTTGAAAGGTATCCGTTAAAACGAAAAAGCGATAATTTGGGAACGTGTCGTTTGAGACTGTGAGCACGATAAATAGAACGTGGTTCAAAGGAGCGCTTCGGAAGCGATAATACAACGGCAAGAAAGGGAGGTGTTTCTTGACAAAGGTTGCGCTTGAAGTATTGCCAGTTAGACTAGATTAAACTAGCTCCGCCTCCAGAATGTAATTGGCCCTAAGCGGGTTGTTGACGCAATGCATTGTCATTAATCATGTTTTTCCCATCTCAAAAATGCTTTTCAGTCCAAACCTGGGCTTCGAAACTTGCCCATCGCTTGACTACGAAATCACCTCATTTAAACGGTCATTAACTCAGCTGTAAATTTGTCAAATATCTTGAATTAGAATGGAAGCACCCAATTCTCAGCTTTGAGAATTTTTCTGTTTTCCTCTTCAAAAACCTTCCCTTTGTGTTCGTAATTGTTCGATATCGCTTGTTGTGCTGCTAGGTAAACGGGAGACGAGAATCATCGAGAAGCGATATTCGTAACTCATTTCTTCATCAAATCATGACGTAATGAATTAACGTAGCATGACGCGGATAAAGGTTTGCCTGTCAACCTTCCGATTTTCAATTCCATCACGTTTCTATTTTAGCATAGATTATATGTGAACCAACTTGCCTTGTGTAGAGTCAAAATCACGGGAGACGGTTTCAACACTCGCAGTTGGCGATTCTAAACTTTTGTGCAAAGAGCATGTGCTTTTGGTCACATGTACATTCCTGCCTTAAGGCTTCCGAGCTGTTGGAATTCAGGGGAATTCTCTATGATTCCCCACCACAATTTTTATAAGCGCTATTAAGTGTCCTTTAAATTAGCTCGCTATCTGAATGCTGAACCTTTGTGTGAACAATAAGCATACATACAGCGTTGGGACCGTCTGCAAAAGGTTGTAGTAAATGCTGTGGTGGTTGGCCATAAGCTGTCATGTAGGTGGATCTAAACATACTATTTGGCGGTGAAAATGTAGTTCGAGGGGCCACTCATAATATCTAATCAAAGTGACAATATCTAATCAAAGTGGAGTTGCGGAAGGCACTCATATCTAATCAACATTCGAAGCAGAGGCTCTGAGCGTGCGATTAGATAGTGATACAACCCGAGTTTCTGTGCAAATGCCTGAACTGCCACTTGCATGACGATCACAAGAAGATTCGGTGAAAATGAAGGGTCACCAAGGTGGTAACCATTTTAGCTATAGAACAATACGACAAGGGTAGCAAGTGTGAAGTACTGGTCGTAGACCACTGTCGAAGCGAAAGATATGGTGAGGTTTGATAAGACATGAGTGCTTTTCCGCAGCTCCACACGATTAGATAAGGATATGGGTGGCCCCCTCAAACTACATTTTCCACTTATTTGGCATACACACCAGATTACATGCTAAAACGAAATAAAGAAAAAAGTCCTGGAACTGTTCTTTTGAGTGACAAAACCTACAAAACTGCAAAGCTTTGTCGTTTCTGCTCACATTTCCCCATGTGCGTATAGATTTCTTCAGCAGTGATATGGCGGTCTTCAATAGAGCTTAAAGCATTCCATCTGTCACCATAGAGAAAATCTATGTTCTTGATCAGAAATACCTTATCATTTTCTCCATATCATCCGTTGCTTTTTTCAAAAATTTGTCAATTGCACGAAAACGCTTCTCAGCTTCTACCTGAACAGTCTGTGCTCTGGTCGATTCGTCATGAAAGTCTACTTGATTTTTCTGCTGAAATGGTGATCTCCTTGAACGATTAATTGCTAAGTTTGCACATTCCACAGTCAAATATCGATCTACCAGTATTAGTTTAGTATCTGAGGCTAGAATTCGATTTGTAACAAACTTTCTTCACTTCTTGTATTGCTGTCCGCTTGGCACATCTAACTATGATTTTGGCCACACCCGTTCATATGACGCGCTGATGGGGAAGACTGGTTGAGGAGCTAGTCGAGGCAGGGCCGTAGCACAGTGATGAACATCTAAAACGGCTGTGCAGCCACTACTCGCTCGCTCTCATCACAGCCAACGTTGTTTCAATCGTCAATATTGTAGAATTGTCCTGTTCCAAAGTATCATGTTGATCTAAATGTGTATAAACAATGTGAGACTTCAAAATTTATTGCAAAAGACTCAAAACTTTCTACAAAAGAAATTGCAAAAAGGGCGTGTTTGCAAAAGTTTTGCAAAAGTTTACATCTTTTTGGCGAGGTTTCGGCGCTTACTGAAATGAAATGAGTAAGTAGAAGCTTTTGAAGTCTGTTAATATATTAAACTATATTAACCGACTCACCTGCTGCCACTGACAAAGTGTAACACTTACCACCCTGTCGCTTTGTGAAGCAGGAAGCTGTTCCCTGCATTGATCTTATCCTCAAACAGCGTGGACGTGCTACGACCGTTGCTCTACGTTGTTTACCGTATTTTAAAAATCTTTTGCAAAATAACGGTCGTAGGACGTCCACGCTATTCAAGGGTAAGATCAGGGTAGGGAATAGTTCCTGCTTCACAAACCAACAGGGTGGTAAGTGTTACACTTTGTCAGTGAGCAGCAGGTGAGTCAGTTAATATATTTTAATATATTAACAGACTTTCAAAAGCTTCTACTTACTATTTCATTTCAGGCTCGACAAAGGCGCTAAGCGCCGAAAGCTCGCCAAAAAGGACCTAAACTTTTGCAAAACTTTTGCAAACACACACTTTTGCAATTTCTTTTGTAGAAAGTTTTAGAGTCTTTTGCAATGAATATTTGAAGTCTCACATTGTTCATAACACGTCAATATTGCACAAAACTGGGCGAAATAAAAAAGCTAAATGGATATAGCAATAGGAGCTATCGCTTGCAAT